TGTGTGAGAGTGTGTGTGTGTGTGTGTGTGAGAGAGTGTGTGTGTGTGTGTGTGTGTGTAGTGCACAGTCCACAGGACTCCAGTGTTGAGCAGCGTCGGCTGCAGAGGAGAACACACGTCATATCAGGTATCAGACATTCCTCACATGTATTAACCAGCTTCTCACAACTAATGGTCTTTAAAGAGTTACGTAAATGTTAGGACAAAACGTTCTTAAAATAACGTTTATGGAACACATTTGGCTGTTACATAACAAGTCTGAGACGCTAGAACTTTTTTTGTTTTCTGCTGAACATGCTGTTATTCTTTAGAGAGCCACACGAGGGCGCCATCTATCAGTACATTTAGAGCTCTAGTTGTTCCAAACCTGTATTAAATCATTTCAGAGGATGATCTGAAAGTATTTTGAAGTATGCTGGTAACCAAACAGTTGCTGGTAGCCATTGGCTTCCATAGTAGGGAAAAAAATACTATGGGAGTCCATGGCTACCGTCAACTGTTTGGTTACCAGTATTCTTCAAAATATATGTTTTTGTGTTCGACTCGTACAGGTTTGGAACGACATGAGGGCGAGCAAAGCAGCTGTATGGAAAATCACAATTTGCTAATGTTCCCATTAAGTTATGAATGTTATAAAAAGTTTTTCCTGGTTATGTGAATGTTATGGGAACCTTTCCTGAGCATTTCCCTTCCATTTGAACATTTTGCAAATATTATGGCAACGTTAGATTTGAATGTTCTCTGAACATCCTGAAACAAAAAATAACATCGTTAAACATTTCAGAAAAAACGTTCCATGAAGGATGCATAAAGCGTTTTGAGAACGTTATTAAAGACCCGATGACTTTGAACGAACGTTCTATTAATGTAACTGAAAGAATGTTTGTTCATAGCGTTCTGGGTTGTTGCATTTAGCAGATTAGAGCTGGACGATAATATAAGGTGCGTCCCAAATCGCGTACTTATGTACTATTCTATCATGACGTTTTTTAGTATAAATAGTGCGAGTAGTGTTCACACTGAAAATTCCAAAAAGAAAAAGTGCACTTTAAATACCCGGATGATGCGCTTAAATAACCGAAAAAACGAAGTGTGGAATGTTGGACACTTCACGCACTCAACTGTTGCAGCTTTAATTACGTAGCGAAGTGGGAGGAGCTATCAGACTCCGGATTTTGAATAACAGAATAACATTATATAATTCACACACTACACGGTTGAGTACATAGTGCACAAGTACATAGTGTATGAGTGCATAGTGTATAGTTCGTCTTTTGGGACGCAGCTATAGTTTACAGTTTAAGTCAGATTAAAAGACATTAATCTGAATCATTAATCTGATAGTTACAGGTGATGAAGCTGCCTAAGAATAACAATTCCAAGGTATGCATGTGACTGAATTAAACCGCGCTCTCAATCTGTTTCAGAGCTCATCGATAGCTGGCGTTCAGACCGACTACAGCAGACTGACCCCGCCCCCTTCACTGACACCATCACACGAGGCTCCGCCCCGTTTTCTCAGCTGAGCGACAAACACCAAACTCATCAGCACAGCTCACTGTATTCTGGTTTAAAACAACACTAATTTAGGCGAACGCTCAGCTGGTACGAAATTGCGCGAAAAGAGCGGATTGCTTTAAAGCAGCAACAAATGCACATGTAAAGCTGTAATTACAACACTGCTGTAGTTACCATAGGGAGCTTTACTCATTTAACTGTACTAAAATACACAAAACTAGCCAACATACAGTTGCTTTTGAGATTTTTAAAAATGTAAAACAAAATTGTGAGAAATCATTTCGGCTATGCTGTATTTCTATGTGACTAATCAAATGCAAGTAAACGAGTGTCATTGATCACGTGACTCAGATTGAAGATCATCAGGTTCAGTTCACAAAGCTCCAGACACCAAATACTGACGCTTCCTCACATTCATGAATATTTCTTTCAAATCCAACAGTAGAGCATGCGCTTGCAACGCCAAGGTCATGGGTTCGATTCCCAGGGAATGCATGAACCGATCAAATGTATGCTTTCAATGCAGTGTAAGTGGCTTTGGATAAAAGCGTCTGCCAAATATAGAAATGTGAATGTATTGTTTTCTGCTGGTTTCAGACTGTAACTGTGTGTTATGCATATGGACTGAAAACCCTTCAGCATGTTGCACATTCTGATATGATATAAAACACGGTGTACGTAATGCAATGTTCCTGACACGAGCACAGGGGCAGTAAAACACAAGAACGCGTTACTAAATAACAGTCTGATGGTAGCTGTGTTCACTGTGTCCTGCCAGAATCCCAGCACACACAATAACGAGAGAAGCGTTTACCAAATGAAGCTAATAACCAAACACTGAGTGCAGCACGGAGCGATCAGCAGGTTTTCTCCTTCATAATCAGTCGTGTTGTAGACTAAACATCTCATGACTGCAGACGCGTGTTTGCGCTGCTCACATTCCTGAAGAACACGGTTCACCCTCTGCTGCTGCAGAAAGACATTTAACCATTCGCATCCATGAGAGCTGACCTTTGACCCTCAACCACAGCTAACAGGGAACGTTCCCATAACTTTCATGCTTTATAAAGGTTATGTAAACGTTAATGCTTAAAATAATGTTTATGGAACATTCTTATGACATTATCTGATATACGTTCTCGCAATGCTGAGAGCAAATGTTCTTACAACAATGTTCTCGGAACGTCCTTATGATGTAACAATAGAACGTTCTCACAACATTTTCTAAAGGATGAAAAGGAATGTTCCTCTAACGTTCACACAACCTAGAAGAAACGTTCTCAATACATTTTCAAAACTGTCCTCTGTTGTGTTTTTTCTAATTTTTATTTTCATTTATGATAGCATCAGTGTAAAATGGCTGATGAAAGTGGAGAAATCTTTAGAGAGAATGATAATAATCTGGTTTTAATGTCAAAAGAAACATCAATATGTTTTAATATATTAATTTAACTAAATGTTCAAAACATACAGTTTTTAAATGTTTTAAAAAAGTTTTTTCGGGGTTATGCGAACGTTAAGGGAACATTTCATTAGATCATTTTGCAAACATTATGGAAATGTTAC